CCTCAAGGTCTATCGCACTGATGGATTCTCGTAAACTCATCCCATCAGGCTCTGAACACGATGAAGAGCGAAAACAAATCAGATCTAGGTTAACCAAAAGTCTAAGGAACGACCGTGAGCAGTGGTAGGCAACGAAAGCAAACGAGATGGAAAAGGCGGCGACTATAGGGAACACAAGACAGCTCTACAGACTAATAAAAGAAACTGGAATTAATAAGTCAAGTGTAAGTCAGACTATTTCGGAAAAAGACGACACCCTCATCTGCTCTCAGTCCAGACGTTTAGAACGATGGGCGGAACATTTCAGAGAACAGTTCAACTGGCCTTCAGCTACTCTACAACTACCCTCCATTCCCAGACAGTGTGAATGGAACATTGAAGTAGGTCCCCTAACTCTAGCAGAAGTTCAAAAGGCTATAGTTAATCTGAAGCGAGGAAGGGCAGCTGGTCCAGATGGACTGGCTCCAGAGGTCTTTAAGGATGGTGGTCCAATTTTAGCGATTAGGTTGACCAATATTTTAGCTAAGATCTGGGAGTTAGACGTTATTCCATCTGACTGATCACAATCACTTATCGTCCCAATATATAAGAGAGGGATAAAATCATCCTGTGATAACCATAGAGGGATTAGTTTAACTAATATAATATCTAAAATACTGGCCTCAATAATTATCAGACGCCTAACTAAGACTCGTGAACTGCAAACACGAGAGAATCAAGCTGGCTTCAGACCTGGTCGTGGCTGCATCGACCACATATTCACCATTCGATGGATTCTAGAACACAGGCATACTTATCGGCGTCCGACAATGGTGCTCTTTCTTGACTTAAAAGCAGCATTTGACTCCGTAGACCGCGAGATTCTGTGGCAGTGTCTGTCATTGAAAGGCATACCTCAGAAGTACATAAACCTTGTGAGGGCTCTTTACTCGAACACGACTAGTCGAGTCAGAGCTTATGGCGAACTGTCATCTACTTTTGCAACCTCAAGTGGTGTCCGTCAAGGCTGTCCACTTTCTCCATTTTTGTTTAACTTCATCATAGATCTACTGATGGAAATAACATTCTCGTCGACTGAGTTCTCGGGTATTAATCTCCTTCCAGGAGGTCCACTTATCGACTTAGAATACGCAGATGACATAGTCCTGTTTGGTGAAGACGCTGACAAAATGCAGAGTCTTTTGGTAGCACTAAGCAACAATGCCAGAATGTTTGGAATGCGCTTCTCTCCCTCTAAATGCAAGTTGTTGCTTCAGGACTGGTCTACGTCAACACCTGAGCTAAGGATAGGGAGTGAAGTAGTCGAACGCGTTGACAACTTCACTTATCTTGGAAGTCTGATCAACCCTAATGGTCTGGCATCGGACGAAATCTCAGCACGGATTCGAAAAGTTCGTTTGGCTTTTGCCAACTTACGTCACCTATGGTGAAGGCGATACATCCGTTTATCAATAAAAGGTCGAGTGTACTGCGCGGCAGTCCGTTCTGTCTTACTTTACCGCAGCGAAACATGGCCATTAAGAGTAGAAGACACTCGTAAGCCATTAATATTTGACCACATGCCTTAGAAATATTGTTGGCATCTGCTGGGATCACCGGGTTAGTAATAGTGAGGTTAGACGCAGGGTATTAGGGAATGATGGTAAATCAGTTGATGAGGTTATGAATCTTCATCGACTGAGATGGTTGGGCCACGTGTTACGTATGCCTGAACACCGACTACCACGACGTGCAATGCTATCCGGTATTGGAGATGGTTGGAAGAAAGTTAGGGGCGACCAAACCAAAACGTGGCATCAGTGCTTGAAGTCACGGACTTCTAGTCTGAGCCATGTTGGTAGATGCGGATTACTTGGTTGGAGTCCGCGTGACTATCGTAACCAATGGTTGGAGATTCTTGGTGACATGGCTCAGAATCGATCACAATGGCGTCGGTGTATACACTCCCTGTCTTCCCTTAAACTAAGAGATTAAAATCACTTCATATCTTTCTTTTTACGATTAAATTCCTTCTTCCTGTAATATATCATCATACACAATCTTACTCTTATATATATTACTATCATCAAAGTAACTATTATGAATTTGATGTTCATCTTGTTGTGCTAATGAGGTTTACCAGTTTTTACGTTATTGAGCCAATGGAATATGATTTCATTCACAATAAAGACTGGCTAGATATTCGGTCTGTCAAAAATATGACCAAATAATGTGCTCATATTAGTATCCAAATTGTTAACCTCAATCATGTATTGGTAAGCAGCTAGTTTTGCCGTAAACTGATATAACAGATTTTTCATCCATCAATGTCGTTGGGATTCTGTTCAGTCCTCTCAGTGTACTAAAACAATTGCTTTTGTTAGGTCTCACTTTCGCGTTAAAGAGATTTCGTATTCCGAACTTGACAATACCTTGGCCTGAATGTTTCATGACCACTTGTAAAGAACGAGTCCAGTAAGTATTTCCTACGTTTTAGTTTCTTTTGAACTAGCTTATCTATCCATGAAGGAAAATATGATATTGTACATAGAGTTGACGAGGAATGAATGAGTTAGGCTCTTATAAACACGACCTTACACTTATCCCATACTTCTTCAATGCGGTGATCTATATAAACTGATCAGTCCGTTGAGAAAACACTTTTTCTGATAAAGGGTCTGTCTGTTCACCATTTATTTGGACAAAGCAAAACGACATTCGAAATCGTCTGTCCTAAACCGAAAGTACAGTACAGTATGATCACTATTTATCTACCAGAGTGAAGTTAAATATCTGCAAAATCTTCACTGTCTTGTGTACAAGGAATGTTGAATAATGATGGTTATGTTCTAAGTCAAAATGTGTCGCTTTCTTGATACATTGTACAAGGATTTATTGTAGGTCGGTCAACGACAATTTACTATCGAAACGCAGTTGTCAGCTATGTCTGGTTCATGCGTGGCGCGTCAGAATTCCCACTACTAATACAGCTATTAGTCTTACCTCATATAAAAACGTGACTCAAAGCGAGACCATTGATCAGGTTGCTAAAGATATGGCACATTACTTCAACAGTCACTTGATTTTCGAACTTACTACCACTCACATGTGGCTCTCATTTAACGCATAGATTTAACGCGTAAATTTTGTCGAATGTTCAAGACTATGATCTCACCCTTACGACTAATGATCCTACTAGTTCTAACACATTAACTCTGTGGTGTTTTGGGTAGGATCAACATCAGTCGAGCCATATTTTTGTAATAATAATTACATCCAGTTTCATTAAAAAACGTAGCTCAAACATTTCGCTTTTTTGGCTGTATACATCGGCGTAGGATTCAGTCAGGATGTCTGTGTGTTCATCGGAGAACGTTCAATATACTTTGGTTTTTCCCCTAATCATTTAGTTGGGTTTTTAACCCGATAAAGGCGTTTTTTCCGTTGATAAGTGTAAATTCTCAAACACAGTGTACATTAAAGAAATCAGCCGTTAAACCCCATATTGATTTAAAGCAGTTTTCGTTCATTTGTTATTCAATATGTTGAAATTAATTCAGTGTGCTTTTTGTTCTTATGACATTTGTCCAGTTTGACAAACTAAATAAATCGTGTTCACTTACTGAGTTGTTGAGTTACTTATTTATTTCCTTCTAGGTCTCCATACGATTTTTTACAATTGCCAGCATTACGTATATCTACTCTAGACCACAACTTGTCAACTTCCGAATGTCATTACTGAAGTAGTTCTGAACAACTTTTTTGGTGTTTGTATCCTGCTTGTTATCATATTTTTATTTCAGACTGCATCTCTGACCACAAGATCACATACTTAACTTGCTGAACAAATACCTATGAACTACACCTTTGTTTTCTTGTGCTATCGTTCATCATTGAGGTAAGAGCACCCTCAGACTACAAGTGCCACATCACTGATGACTTTAATACATTGAGAAAAATCAAGCATATTTTATTTGCTCTAGACAGCAATAAAGGGCTAGAGTTTACTTCAGTATTTATGTGAAAAAAGGCTATAAATATCCTATAGTAGTTACTACAATTATCATTTCTTTAATAAATACAGAAGTTTAACAAATTTCTTAACGAGTAATCCGAATACGTTAATTTTCGATCGTAAAATGTCAGCTTCTGAAGCATGCAAAAAGTCTCTTGTTACCTTGGAGTCATACCTTAGAGACGAACATACTAATTCAGAAACTTTGAAATTTTCTGCTAACAGCGTACTTACAGTTGATGGAAAGGTGAGAAATATTGTCTCAATAGATCTAAATTCACTCAAACTTTAGAAACCAAATCCACTAGAGGAAGTCGAAATTTTGGATACCATAGCTACGTACATAATGCTGAAAAACGAAGAGGATGTGAAGTATCGCTTGTTCTTCGAAGTCTTTCCTGCTGATAAGGATATTAGCTCTGACTGTTTGTACTTCCTGATAAAATTATCATCGTTAGCTATTTGTCTTGGGCTATCCCCAGTACTCGAAATTGTTTCTTTGTGGCTAAAGGTTAGCGAAATTTCAATTTTTGAATGTTGTGAAGATATATTTTTATGGATTTACTCACAAGCTTTGTAACTCTTTAACAGCTCGAATACACAAATTAGTATTGTTTTATAACATACTGATGTTGTTTGGTAGAGTTAATGTCCAGAAACAATGTTTGTGTAGCTGTTTTATCTTATTAGGATCTTGTATTGAAATTCGAAAATATTATTTTCAGAGGCACTTTCCATTGCGTAACTTCTCACCAAAATTTTCTCATCGAATCTAAGGTTTTTAAATAAATTAAAATTGACGTGCTAATGTAGTACTTAGACCTATTAACTACTTTCCATTTCACGAAAGTTGGTCCAATCAGGTCAGTCAGCCAGCTACAACGTAGGACCAGGCACATATGTGCATCGGTCCAGGTTGCCATACCGCATCAGCACAACAAGATGAACACCGGATTCATAGCAGTGGTTAGGTCAAAGGTGGTAATATATAAGAGAAAGATTGCATATAGAGATATAGTACAAGAAGAAAAAATTGGTTCGTAGAAAGAAAGATATGAAGTGATTTTAATCTCTTAGTTTAAGGGAAGACAGGGAGTGTATACACCGACGCCATTGTGATCGATTCTGAGCCATGTCACCAAGAATCTCCAACCATTGGTTACGATAGTCACGCGGACTCCAACCAAGTAATCCGCATCTACCAACATGGCTCAGACTAGAAGTCCGTGACTTCAAGCACTGATGCCACGTTTTGGTTTGGTCGCCCCTAACTTTCTTCCAACCATCTCCAATACCGGATAGCATTGCACGTCGTGGTAGTCGGTGTTCAGGCATACGTAACACGTGGCCCAACCATCTCAGTCGATGAAGATTCATAACCTCATCAACTGATTTACCATCATTCCCTAATACCCTGCGTCTAACCTCACTATTACTAACCCGGTGATCCCAGCAGATGCCAACAATATTTCTAAGGCATGTGGTCAAATATTAATGGCTTACGAGTGTCTTCTACTCTTAATGGCCATGTTTCGCTGCGGTAAAGTAAGACAGAACGGACTGCCGCGCAGTACACTCGACCTTTTATTGATAAACGGATGTATCGCCTTCACCATAGGTGACGTAAGTTGGCAAAAGCCAAACGAACTTTTCGAATCCGTGCTGAGATTTCGTCCGATGCCAGCCCATTAGGGTTGATCAGACTTCCAAGATAAGTGAAGTTGTCAACGCGTTCGACTACTTCACTCCCTATCCTTAGCTCAGGTGTTGACGTAGACCAGTCCTGAAGCAACAACTTGCATTTAGAGGGAGAGAAGCGCATTCCAAACATTCTGGCATTGTTGCTTAGTGCTACCAAAAGACTCTGCATTTTGTCAGCGTCTTCACCAAACAGGACTATGTCATCTGCGTATTCTAAGTCGATAAGTGGACCTCCTGGAAGGAGATTAATACCCGAGAACTCAGTCGACGAGAATGTTATTTCCATCAGTAGATCTATGATGAAGTTAAACAAAAATGGAGAAAGTGGACAGCCTTGACGGACACCACTTGAGGTTGCAAAAGTAGATGACAGTTCGCCATAAGCTCTGACTCGACTAGTCGTGTTCGAGTAAAGAGCCCTCACAAGGTTTATGTACTTCTGAGGTATGCCTTTCAATGACAGACACTGCCACAGAATCTCGCGGTCTACGGAGTCAAATGCTGCTTTTAAGTCAAGAAAGAGCACCATTGTCGGACGCCGATAAGTATGCCTGTGTTCTAGAATCCATCGAATGGTGAATATGTGGTCGATGCAGCCACGACCAGGTCTGAAGCCAGCTTGATTCTCTCGTGTTTGCAGTTCACGAGTCTTAGTTAGGCGTCTGATAATTATTGAGGCCAGTATTTTAGATATTATATTAGTTAAACTAATCCCTCTATGGTTATCACAGGATGATTTTATCCCTCTCTTATATATTGGGACGATAAGTGATTGTGATCAGTCAGATGGAATAACGTCTAACTCCCAGATCTTAGCTAAAATATTGGTCAACCTAATCGCTAAAATTGGACCACCATCCTTAAAGACCTCTGGAGCCAGTCCATCTGGACCAGCTGCCCTTCCTCGCTTCAGATTAACTATAGCCTTTTGAACTTCTGCTAGAGTTAGGGGACCTACTTCAATGTTCCATTCACACTGTCTGGGAATGGAGGGTAGTTGTAGAGTAGCTGAAGGCCAGTTGAACTGTTCTCTGAAATGTTCCGCCCATCGTTCTAAACGTCTGGACTGAGAGCAGATGAGGGTGTCGTCTTTTTCCGAAATAGTCTGACTTACACTTGACTTATTAATTCCAGTTTCTTTTATTAGTCTGTAGAGCTGTCTTGTGTTCCCTATAGTCGCCGCCTTTTCCATCTCGTTTGCTTTCGTTGCCTACCACTGCTCACGGTCGTTCCTTAGACTTTTGGTTAACCTAGATCTGATTTGTTTTCGCTCTTCATCGTGTTCAGAGCCTGATGGGATGAGTTTACGAGAATCCATCAGTGCGATAGACCTTGAGGAAATCCATTGGTTCTTTGTAACCCTGTGGTTTAAATCACTGATAGATGTCACTGCTGTTTCCACAGCTGTTTGTATAGCTTTCCAAGCAACATCTGGGTCAGCCTCGTTTTCAGAACTACCTAATCGTGACCTCAGTTGTTCCTGGAACCTACTTTTGGTTTTCTCGCTACTCAGTTCGGTTTTAATGGGTCTTTTTACTGTGGCTTTTTTGCGTCCAGTGAGGCGCAAGCAGATGCGTGCCCGTATTAGAGCGTGGTCGGAGTCCAAGCAGGTACTCCATAATGAACGACAATCTTCTACCGACCCTCTCCAACGGTGACTGATGGCAACATAGTCTATTTGAGTCCATCGTTGGTTTGGTGTAGGGGGTCGCCATGTTAGACGATGTCTCTCCTTATGCTTAAAATTTTTGTTTGCTAAAAACAAACGATTGTCTGAGCACAGTTGCATCAGACGGTTACCATTATCTGTTCGCTGTGCCGGAATGCTAAAATATCCACCTAAATATCTTTCTGTTTGGTTTAAGCTACCTACACGGGCATTAAAGTCACCTGCTATGAGTACTATGTCTGAATGTTTAGCTTTCAGAAGAAGTTCAGAAAGCTTTCTGTAAAATTCATCTTTCACATCATCTGAGCTGCAGTCGGTGGGAGCGTAGGCAGAAACGACAAAACGACAACGACGTGTGTCCCTATCCTTCCGAGTTCTTACGGAGCCGTTTAACCGAACAGCACATAAACGATTGTTAACGGGGATCCACTCTGACAGTGCTTGTTCCGCCCTCATGCTTAGTGCTATGCCTACTCCTGCCAATCTACGAGAGCTGGCCGTCGGGTCACCAGATACACGGAGGGTGTATCTCGTTGGCTCTCTATTTTGCCGAGGTGAGGTCAAGTGAAAGACCACACTGGGATCATGTATGCGTGTTTCAGAGACACAGTATACATCAATTGTACGAGATTCAAGGGTTCTAGCCAGGGAAGCATGTTGACCGATTTGACACAGGGTGCGTACGTTGAGCGAGGTTTCAGTAGACCTGGGACAGTGTTTTGCGCACTGGAATCGTTGGCTATGGTGACACTTGAGGAGGAAGAAAAAAGAGGAAATTTAGAGTTGAAAGTTGATTTAGGGGAAATAATAAGAATTGAAGAGGGAGGTTGATTTTGAATACAGTGGTCTTGAGTGCCGTTTAGAGGTATGAGGGCGGTTATCACTTCCCGGTTGCCCACACCGTTTAAGGGTCCTTCTACATTTACCTGAAAAGGAAATTGAATTAGAGGTGGTCTCAGTGACCGGAAAGCGTGACCGCAGTGCACAAGAGAAAACTGCTTGAGGCCGGTCGCGCACGGCATTTTCGTGGGAGGTTTTTTGACGTGTTAGCTCTGTTCTTCAAAGGGCCTTACCGCCGAAGACGGAAATCCGTGAGGTAAGGTGAGGTGTGCATTTTTAGGGTCGACTTTTTCTAACCCCACCACTCCTTGTGGGAAGGCAGCATCGCTGTCATGCTGGTTGTCTGAAGGAAACACCTTACTGCTATCACACCTCTGTACAGTCAGCAGTACGACTTCGCCTTCGGACCTTGTGTTTGTTGCTTTTAGTCTTACCGCTTTTCAACCTACTTGTCTGACATGGTAAGACCTTGAGGAACAGTTGTTCCAGCCAGTATAGCTCGGTTGCTTCATCACGATAGGCAAGCCCGACCACCACGTCAAGGTAGCAACAACGATCGGGGGTCCAATCAGGGCATCTAAGTGAAACATTACGAGTCATAATCATCAAGGTTAGTACCACTTCACTCAGCTGTAGAATCGGTATATTCCTAAAAGTAACAACTCGTTCGTCTGGTGTTTTAGAGGTTGGTTTTCCACACACAACTTGAAGTATCCTGATACCATAGTTCTGTTTGGTGGTAAGAATAAAGCGAAGGGTGTTACAAATGCCTTGGATAGAAAATGTCTGAGATGCTTTACTCTTCATTTAAGAATAAAACGTTGCTTCAGGACTGGTCTGATTCTTGGCTGGGCAATAGAACGTAAAGTAATTCGACCCTTACCAATTCTAGGAGTTTTATCAAGCCTAAATTGTTCATGGCTGACCCAGTAGCAGTACAAACAAAGACCGTTAAATCCAAAAATAGATTTCCATATTTTGACCGACAGGATCAGAATAAAATGGGTATCAATGTTAGTTATACTAAACATTAAAACTATCTTTTAAAATAGATGGATGACTTCATGAACTAAGAAGTAGGAACCATGAATCATGTCTGCAAAGGATAAATCATCATTGATAGTGTTATTTTTATTCAGTATGCTCACCTTATAACGATAAACTGCATTTTCCCAAACTAGACATTCCTGCTTTGTTTCTGTAAGTCCTTGCCACTCTGTAAAACATATGTTCGTTTTTAAACGTTATCTGATGCGGCTTTTTCAGATTTATACACCTTTACTAATTGTCACCATTATTGTATCAATCAGTCCACGAAGTCACTGACAATTGAACTGACTTATCCTAACATATTGAATCTTTTTTCTGCTACCATTGAAATAACTACTTCTACGAACTTGGTGTTTATCTTGTTGTGTTAATGAGGTATGGCAACTTGGACCGATGTATAGATGTGCCTGGTCCTACTTTGTAACTGACTAACTGACCTTTCTTATAGGTACAGACTAACTGGTTGGGGTCTGTGTGATTATCGTAACCAGTGGTTAGAGACTGAATGACAGGACTCAAAATCGCTTGCAATCTCGCACTTCCATTCAATCTTTGTCTTCCCCTAACTCCTGAAATTCGGACCTCATAAGCCTTTTTGTTTTTATTTCGCTAATTTTTTTTTTTCGACTTGTATATTCGATGCCTGACCTTTCCCATTACCATTGACGCTATTACTACCTCTTCTATTCTGGTATTTGACCTGACAACATCTGTCTGTGCTAACGGGGTTTGGCAACTTGAACCCATGTACATGCACACAAGTTGTACGCTTTGACTGACTGACCCATTGGGAAGTGAGCTACAATCGCCTGGTATCGCATTGCAACCGTTATGTTTAGTCAGAATCTTCCTCTAGCTCTTCGAGTTTATCTTCATACTTAAGAATAATTTATCTATTATGGCTATATTGTTAAACATGTGTTTATGTGTTATTTACTTATTTGAACAAATAAATATTGGTACACGGGGGGGACTGGATACATATGCAACACACAATAATAATCGGAATGGGAAGAGATAATGTAGGGTGCGTATAAAACGAGAAAAAAAGAACAATAACGACCACAACTTAGTGTATAGTAGTGCAATAATAATAATGGGGGAAACAGAAAGAATTCTTTCAGTTAAAGTTACGGTCACTTTTTATGAAGAAAGTAAAAGAAGGTTACAGCAGGATCACCACTGGCTTCTGTTCTGAGCCAGGCCTGATAACGTATCAAACCATTGTGTTGCTCAATCTCTAGGACCCCAACTAAGGAGTCGTGAAGGACCAACAGAAGCCAGTCCTGTACAGCTTTCTTTCGTACCACGACACCGTATCACACACTGACCACCTCTTCGCTTTTTCCAACCAATCCCAGAGTCGGCAAATAGTCCATGACGTGGAATTCTCTGGGACAACATTCTTAGA